AGCAGGAACATTTTAAGTAGGCTAACGCTTTGAAGGTTTCAGAGATTCATGCTGTCAAACAGGTGTGTGCTCAGTCAAAGTCATTGATCTCAGCATCAGGCAGCAGATCTTCTCTCTCTACAGGGTCACCACTTTCCCAGATCCACACAGAGCTCTGAGAGTCTCCCTCCATCACCCCCCAGTTCTCCACCTGTTCCCCTCAGATCTAACTATTGTCCCTGGGGGCTATTGGAGCAATTCACTGTGTTGAGGCTCCACACGTCCCTTTGTCTCTGTGAGGCTCTGTGATTGGCTGAGAGTGTGAGAAAGTGCAATCAGACCCAGACCCACACATTCATATGGAGATGTGGGACTATAAATAGGAGGATGAAGCCAGCAGAGATCAGACTCTCTCTACAGAGACCTCTACAGCACACACATCCAGACATGGCTCCTACAATCACTGCAGCAGTGACCAACTCTCAGCAGCAGCATCATCATCATCATCATCTGACTGGGACTCACAAGGTAAATCCAACATTCTCTGGTCATTTTCCTTCAGGACACATTGTCTCTGTCCATGCTCACACTTGACTCCAGGATCAGCTGATTGATGACTTTGCTCTTCTCCCTGCAGCTCAGAAAGCCTCTGGTGGAGAAGTTACGCAGAGAGAGAATCAACAGCAGCATTGAGCAGCTCAAGTCTCTCCTGGGTCCAGAGTTCCTCAAACAGCAGCCAGACTCCAAGCTGGAGAAAGCAGACATCCTGGAGATGACAGTTTTCTTCCTGACACAGCTGCAGCAGCAGCAGAATCAGCAGCAGAGACTGACGATCAACAACTTCAACCAGCTGCACTGTTCCTCTGACAACAACCTGACAGAGGCTGACTTCTCTCCTCTGAGCTCCACAGTCCACAGCAGTGGCGACACCAAAGACAAGAGTGCCCCCTGGAGGCCGTGGTAGAGAGCTACAGAGTGGAGTTGAAGGACTTGTTCTGTATGAACATCAGTGTGTTTGACATTTCCTGAGGAAATGACAGAAACCATATCTTTGAGGAGGAGAGAGAAAACATCTGATCAAGGATGTTTCATCAGTCTGATCTGATTCACATCAGCACTGGTTGTTTTACTTCTCTCTACTTCATACATTGGTTCAATGAGATGTTGTGTTAACGTTTGTCATCTTCTGATCACATTGATCATTGTGATGACAAATATTTCAATGTTCTTTTATGGACATGAAACTGATCTGTTCTCAGATCAACTTTTTTTTTCTTCTGCTGAAAAATGTCTTCACAGTTATTTGTGAAGATCTGTTATTGATCATGTTGATCAGCTATTGATTGGTTTTCAATAGTTGTTATTATTGATCTATGAGATCAAATGTTCTTTCTGTCAAAGTTTTCTTCACATTTGTTTTGTGAAAACTGACAGAAACAATATCTTTCAGATTGAGAAAGACAACAACGTGTCATGCATGTTGCATGGACATAATCTGATGACATCAGATTTTAATTTCTTTCCCTGATACTGTGTTAAAATGTATCATTATTTGATCACATTGATCATTTTGTTGATTCATGTTTAATGTCCCTTTTATGGACATAAAACTGATCTGTTTTAAATTTAATTTTTCCATTTGTGAAAAATGTTTTCTTTTGACATTTGTTACCTCCTAAATATTGATCGTTTTGATCAGTCGTTGAAAAATTGTCCAGTGTGGACATGTTATTTTTGTTGGTTAGTGAAACTTGATCTGTTTGATGATCAAAATGTTTCTACGTAAGAAAAATGACATTCATTGACGTTGTTACCTTTTAGATAGTATTGATCACATTGATCAGCTGTTCTGTTTACATCAGCAATATTGTTGACACACCTTTCATCGCTGTTAAAAACAATATTAATATAACATTTATATATAGGATATCTATTTTAAGGTATTACATTTTGTCCTGTGATGTGTGTTTTATAAACACGTTTAAGCCATTGTAATTCATCATTTTGATATCATTTTGATTTTGACACAGATCACTGTGTGATTGTTATTGTTCAATCTCTTTTTATCGTAATGATTTCCCTGTAAAATATGATCTCACCTGTGGTTTATTTCACACAGTTTTTTATTTTGTCTTTTGTAAAGACGAATGTTCCTCCACTCACTGTGAGTGCGGCGTGTCTTGATGATGTCACCAAGCTGATGTTGTGATGCATCATCACATCTGTGTTCTTTCCAGCTTAAACATGTGGAATAAATAATAATAAAAAAACATAATACAATATTTCCTAGATTTGCCTTTATTTGTGATGATTTTTTTATTTTTTTATTTCATAAACCTCACCAGTCCTGACGTACTTCAATTCATACAAGTGTGAAAAAGTTCAAGGAACGTGAGCCACAGATCAGTGACAAGTAACAGACAGTGTAGATGTGATGTGTGGAGCCATAAAAACCTCCAGGTCACCACATGTCAGTGGACAGTGTGTGGGAAAGTAGTGGAGAAGTGAGCCACACATCAGTGATTCTTGTCTTCAACCACAGCAGCAGTGGTCTTTTGTCCAGGATCTGGCACACTTCAGGAAACAGCTGTCATTTAGAACTTCACACCTCCACACATCAAAGTCAACTGGTTCATTCCACACAGTCTTTAATGAGGGTTGATGGTCACATGACCAGGCCAAGATGTGAACTGCTTTATTTCCAGCATCCTGAGGATGAACTAAAGTTGGACCAACCTTCAGAGCTCAGTCCAGTTGTGTCCCTCCAGATGGTTGGTGACATCATCAGCCTGTGTCTCCATTACAGCTCACAGACACTGAAGCTCCAGTCATTGTCCTGTTGTTCTGCTCTGACCGCTTCATTCAAACAGTCAGTGTGAGAACGTGAGAGGAACGTTCTAGTCACATGTCACAGCTGCTGCATCTGGACACCAGCAACTCTTTGACTGCTACAACAATGACAGTCAACACAGGATACTGCCCTGAGTCTGGGCCAGATATGTTACAGTAGGTCAGGGTAGGTAGCAGGCTGGACCCAGCTGATGCACCAGGGAGACTCTCTTCAGGTGCAGCAGGTTTATTAACAGTGAACAAACACAAACACATGAATTAAGCATCGACTACATGCTCTCCTCCAAGAGCATGGACTTTGTTAAAACTCAAGGACTTCTCCATCTCTAGGACATGAACAACAAACTAACAGTAACATATGAACAGAAGCAGTTAGACTAATGACAGAGACACAGGTGAGTGTGATCACACTGATGAGCCCACACAGCTCAGACAGTCTAGGATGTATAATTATACTGTAGTACTACTGCAGGTGTTAGTAGACCAGAAATGTTCTACCATTATTACAATGATCGTCCTGTTGTTGTTGTTGTTTTATGATGGTATTTATTATTGTGTTTATTACAGACCTCAGATGTGGTCAGTTGAGACAAACCACATTTATGGATTTATGTCAGAAGAAAATAAGGTCACGATGAAAGACCAAGAAAACACATGGAAACACAGGAAACAGAAATTGTCTTCTATCATTGTTTATTCAATAAACAACAAGTGTCCAAACAGACGTGATGATACATCACAACAACAACAACTTGTAGATTTTCACAAGTCACACTGTACTCAGAGAGAGTGAGGGAACAAGAGTCTTTATGAAAGACAAACAGTTCCAGTGTCTGAGGAAACAGTTCTCACTGGACTGTCACTGTTTTCACAGTGATTATTTCAACGTTTGCTCTTCAAAAACCAAAGCAGACATTTTAGAATCATCTCCACAGAAGATCCCATTAATACAGAGTAGAAACTTCAGTTTATCCTTAACAACAAGGTTATAATGTCACAAGAAAACTGTGACACTGACTGAGAATTTGACTGTACTGAAGTAAAAACACACTGATCTTCAAACAGATCACATTTCTATGAGAAAATGTCCAAAGTGGACAATGAAGAGACAACTGATCAACATGATCAATGAGGTCAGAACAGAAAGAGTTTTCACTGAAACAAATGTGAAGAAAACTTTGACAGAAAGAACATTTGATCACAACAATAGATCAATAATAACAAATATTAAAAAACCAATCAATAGCTGATCAACATGATCAATAACAGATCTTCACAAATAACTGTGAAGACATTTTTCAGCAGAAGAAAAAAAAAGTTGATCTGAGAACAGATCAGTTTCATGTCCATAAAAGAACATTGAAATATTTGTCATCACAATGATCAATGTGATCAGAAGATGACAAACGTTAACACAACATCTCATTGAACCAATGTATGAAGTAGAGAGAAGTAAAACAACCAGTGCTGATGTGAATCAGATCAGACTGATGAAACATCCTTGATCAGATGTTTTCTCTCTCCTCCTCAAAGATATGGTTTCTGTCATTTCCTCAGGAAATGTCAAACACACTGATGTTCATACAGAACAAGTCCTTCAACTCCACTCTGTAGCTCTCTACCACGGCCTCCAGGGGGCGCTCTTGTCTTTGGTGCCACTGCTGTGGACTGTGGAGCTCAGAGGAGAGAAGTCAGCCTCTGTCAGGTTGTTGTCAGAGGAACAGTGCAGCTGGTTGAAGTTGTTGATCGTCAGTCTCTGCTGCTGATTCTGCTGCTGCTGCAGCTGTGTCAGGAAGAAAACTGTCATCTCCAGGATGTCTGCTTTCTCCAGCTTGGAGTCTGGCTGCTGTTTGAGGAACTCTGGACCCAGGAGAGACTTGAGCTGCTCAATGCTGCTGTTGATTCTCTCTCTGCGTAACTTCTCCACCAGAGGCTTTCTGAGCTGCAGGGAGAAGAGCAAAGTCATCAATCAGCTGATCCTGGAGTCAAGTGTGAGCATGGACAGAGACAATGTGTCCTGAAGGAAAATGACCAGAGAATGTTGGATTTACCTTGTGAGTCCCAGTCAGATGATGATGATGATACTGCTGCTGCTGCTGAGAGTTGGTCACTGCTGCAGTGATTGTAGGAGCCATGTCTGGATGTGTGTGCTGTAGAGGTCTCTGTAGAGAGAGTCTGATCTCTGCTGGCTTCATCCTCCTATTTATAGTCCCACATCTCCATATGAATGTGTGGGTCTGGGTCTGATTGCACTTTCTCACACTCTCAGCCAATCACAGAGCCTCACAGAGACAAAGGGACGTGTGGAGCCTCAACACAGTGAATTGCTCCAATAGCCCCCAGGGACAATAGTTAGATCTGAGGGGAACAGGTGGAGAACTGGGGGGTGATGGAGGGAGACTCTCAGAGCTCTGTGTGGATCTGGGAAAGTGGTGACCCTGATGGTGATCAATGACTTTGACCAGGGAACCACTGATCAATGACTTTACTAACATGGAACTGGGACAGTTGATCATTTTATACAGAGAATGGAACTGACTCCTACTGTTATTTACTCCTTATCTGTGTATATCATGTGTACTTTTCTAGTACTGACCACCTCTTGAAGTACTTCACACTACAGTTAGTAAACTATCAATGTCTGAATTTAAATTTAAATCATCTTTAAGGTGAATAATCTGCCTTCTATTCTACAGATTTATATTATTAATATGTCAGCTGCAGCCTGACAGACTGATCTGGGAACAGTTTTAGAGAAGAACTGGATTCTTTTAAACCTTAAGTCTAATCATTTACTCTAGAATCTTCCCATAACACAAACTCAACAACATAATTAATATTTATGAAAGGATTCATCTGTGCCCCGCCCCCCAGTTTGGACATACAGTGAAAATACCATCTCTAATGAATCTGATGTGGTGTGTTTTTACCAATTCCTCCTCTGTATTGTGTGTCTGCTCAGGTCTACATTGGACAGGTCTGTATTGATCCTGATTCCACCTCATACATAACAACAGTGACCATGCCTGTGTCCAGATGCGGCCCAGTCTTGTGTCCTGTGGTCAGTGTGAGTAGAAAGTTGTTCTCAGGTTCCCACACTGAGTCTCTGTGCTGGCTTCAATCCACAACAAAAGACTCTCTGAATGGAGCTTTTGTCACTGATCGTGGACGTGTGGTGGAGTGGAAACAACAGTCTGACATCACCGACCATCTGGAGGGAAACAACCTGATTGGTTGCCTGCAGAAAGAAATAATTATAATGAAAAAAAGAAAAACAAATTATAAGGTTTTTTATATAGCTGTCAGTTCAAAACAGTATCAGTTTATGTTTTAGTTTTTTTTTAATAATGACGTTGTGGTTTTTTAGGGATGATGACTTCTTGTTGGTGAAGCAGCTGTTTCCATAAGTGTGCCAAATCCCTGTGGAGACGAGGGGACTGCTGACGGAGTCAAAGGAGGGCCATCACTTTTATCTCTCTCTAGAGGTTTCCCACACTTTCACACACACCATTAAAATAAAACAAACAGCTTTTCTTCATCTAAGGATTAAAACTAGCTCTTCAGATGTTTTTTGTTTTTTAAAAATCACTTTATATTTATAATAAAAGTTTATATGACTATAACAATGTTCAAATGTTATGAACTCAAAGTCATACTTCACTAATTTCTGCAGTGTACCCATTTTAGTTACTGTTGTTTTGTCAAATAATGGATTTTAACGTGTAGAAAATCATTTGTATAGTTGATCGAGCGAGAAGGTTTTATCTGTGAAGTAATCCAGAGCCTGGTGTTGTCCCACAGGGTTGATGTGGTGGATAATAGGACACACTTCTATTGTTCAGAGTGTGGGAAACCAGAGGAAACTCACTCACAGAGACCTGTGGACCCATGGGTCCTGACCTTTGATCCAAGGAAACCCACAAAAGAGGAGCACACTTCCAAAATGGGAACTCTATCATTTGTTCCAATTTTAATTCACCCTTTGTTAAAGACAAGTTTAACTTTTTTCAATGTTATAAAATTCCAAGTACTGGTAGATTTAAAAAATATATATTTTAGACAATTTATTAAAAGGTTATTAGAAGATAAAATATTTTGTTAAATTAGACCATTAGACATTTTATTAAAATATTAAAGTTGATGTTATAAAAAGTTAATAAATCCATATATAATGTATTTAAATTGTAGTTTTGTAGTTGTAGAAGTATTCCTTCAGATTAGGATAAAAGAGAATAAATAATTATAATAAATATATTGTGAATAAAGTTGACCATACAGTAGTAGTGTGTTTGGCATACTTACACACTTACTGGCATGTGGGAAAGCTGTGGAGTTTAGAGTGACTGCCATACTTGACTCCACCAGCAGGGAACTCCTCTCCACAGGGAATTGGCACACTTATGGAAACAGCTGTTTCACCATCATCCTCCATGTGTGACATGAATTATAATATAATGCATGGGTGTCAGTACAAACAGACAGAGCTGCTGGTACTTTGTAGAGATCATACTGTAATCTGACATATAACTTAAAATGGCATTATGGGTAAAGTTATGTCATGTGCATTTTTTAAATTTAGAGGTCAGCCAATCAGGTTGTTTCCCTCCAGATGGTCGGTGATGTCAGACTGTTGTTTCCACTCCACCACACGTCCAGGATCAGTGACAAAAGCTCCATTCAGAGAGTCTTTTGTTGTGGATTGAAGCCAGCACAGAGACTCAGTGTGGGAACCTGAGAACAACTTTCTACTCACACTGACCACAGGACACAAGACTGGGCCGCATCTGGACACAGGCATGGTCACTGTTGTTATGTATGAGGTGGAATCAGGATCAATACAGACCTGTCCAATGTAGACCTGAGCAGACACACAATACAGAGGAGGAATTGGTAAAAACACACCACATCAGATTCATTAGAGATGGTATTTTCACTGTATGTCCAAACTGGGGGGCGGGGCACAGATGAATCCTTTCATAAATATTAATTATGTTGTTGAGTTTGTGTTATGGGAAGATTCTAGAGTAAATGATTAGACTTAAGGTTTAAAAGAATCCAGTTCTTCTCTAAAACTGTTCCCAGATCAGTCTGTCAGGCTGCAGCTGACATATTAATAATATAAATCTGTAGAATAGAAGGCAGATTATTCACCTTAAAGATGATTTAAATTTAAATTCAGACATTGATAGTTTACTAACTGTAGTGTGAAGTACTTCAAGAGGTGGTCAGTACTAGAAAAGTACACATGATATACACAGATAAGGAGTAAATAACAGTAGGAGTCAGTTCCATTCTCTGTATAAAATGATCAACTGTCCCAGTTCCATGTTAGTAAAGTCATTGATCAGTGGTTCCCTGGTCAAAGTCATTGATCACCATCAGGGTCACCACTTTCCCAGATCCACACAGAGCTCTGAGAGTCTCCCTCCATCACCCCCCAGTTCTCCACCTGTTCCCCTCAGATCTAACTATTGTCCCTGGGGGCTATTGGAGCAATTCACTGTGTTGAGGCTCCACACGTCCCTTTGTCTCTGTGAGGCTCTGTGATTGGCTGAGAGTGTGAGAAAGTGCAATCAGACCCAGACCCACACATTCATATGGAGATGTGGGACTATAAATAGGAGGATGAAGCCAGCAGAGATCAGACTCTCTCTACAGAGACCTCTACAGCACACACATCCAGACATGGCTCCTACAATCACTGCAGCAGTGACCAACTCTCAGCAGCAGCAGCAGTATCATCATCATCATCTGACTGGGACTCACAAGGTAAATCCAACATTCTCTGGTCATTTTCCTTCAGGACACATTGTCTCTGTCCATGCTCACACTTGACTCCAGGATCAGCTGATTGATGACTTTGCTCTTCTCCCTGCAGCTCAGAAAGCCTCTGGTGGAGAAGTTACGCAGAGAGAGAATCAACAGCAGCATTGAGCAGCTCAAGTCTCTCCTGGGTCCAGAGTTCCTCAAACAGCAGCCAGACTCCAAGCTGGAGAAAGCAGACATCCTGGAGATGACAGTTTTCTTCCTGACACAGCTGCAGCAGCAGCAGAATCAGCAGCAGAGACTGACGATCAACAACTTCAACCAGCTGCACTGTTCCTCTGACAACAACCTGACAGAGGCTGACTTCTCTCCTCTGAGCTCCACAGTCCACAGCAGTGGCACCAAAGACAAGAGGATGTTGTGTTAACGTTTGTCATCTTCTGATCACATTGATCATTGTGATGACAAATATTTCAATGTTCTTTTATGGACATGAAACTGATCTGTTCTCAGATCAACTTTTTTTTTCTTCTGCTGAAAAATGTCTTCACAGTTATTTGTGAAGATCTGTTATTGATCATGTTGATCAGCTATTGATTGGTTTTTTAATATTTGTTATTATTGATCTATTGTTGTGATCAAATGTTCTTTCTGTCAAAGTTTTCTTCACATTTGTTTCAGTGAAAACTCTTTCTGTTCTGACCTCATTGATCATGTTGATCAGTTGTCTCTTCATTGTCCACTTTGGACATTTTCTCATAGAAATGTGATCTGTTTGAAGATCAGTGTGTTTTTACTTCAGTACAGTCAAATTCTCAGTCAGTGTCACAGTTTTCTTGTGACATTATAACCTTGTTGTTAAGGATAAACTGAAGTTTCTACTCTGTATTAATGGGATCTTCTGTGGAGATGATTCTAAAATGTCTGCTTTGGTTTTTGAAGAGCAAACGTTGAAATAATCACTGTGAAAACAGTGACAGTCCAGTGAGAACTGTTTCCTCAGACACTGGAACTGTTTGTCTTTCATAAAGACTCTTGTTCCCTCACTCTCTCTGAGTACAGTGTGACTTGTGAAAATCTACAAGTTGTTGTTGTTGTGATGTATCATCACGTCTGATTGGACACTTGTTGTTTATTGAATAAACAAAAAAATTCTGTTGAAATTCCAACTTTTTTTGTTATTCATTGGTATCTGTCCTAAATATAATGATGATGAAAACACAGACAATATTTCCCTTTCATACCTTTATGAAACTGATCTCCAGTCAGTCTGAAGTCCTTAGGGAAACACCACAGACCAGTCCAGTCACTCTGTGTCATGAGGTCAGTAATGACATAAAGAAAAACTGCTTTAAGTTTTCTTGTTTCTTAATTCTTTCCTGATAAACAAAGGTCTTCTAACCTTTCATTCTGACCTGTATTTTGAGGTCAAACTCTGGGTCTATTGGCACATTTGATATGTAGTAAAAACAGTTCAAGGACAGACAGTGGAAAACGTCTCTTTAGAAACCTGTCCTAAGTATAGACTTCATGCACTTAGAGAAGAGGAAAAATCCATTTAAATTTGTATATGAGTATTAAGTCATTTAGACAAAGTGGGATTTGGGTCATGATTAAATAAAATGAATGAAATCAACGAAAACACCACAAATAATAATAATAATAAATTAAAAACTATATGTGTGATTATTATGAGGTGAATGTTATTAAATGAAGCAGCTGTGACATGTGACTAGAACGTTCCTCTCACGTTCTCACACTGACTGTTTGAATGAAGCGGTCAGAGCAGAACAACAGGACAATGACTGGAGCTTCAGTGTCTGTGAGCTGTAATGGAGACACAGGCTGATGATGTCACCAACCATCTGGAGGGACACAACTGGACTGAGCTCTGAAGGTTGGTCCAACTTTAGTTCATCCTCAGGATGCTGGAAATAAAGCAGTTCACATCTTGGCCTGGTCATGTGACCATCAACCCTCATTAAAGACTGTGTGGAATGAACCAGTTGACTTTGATGTGTGGAGGTGTGAAGTTCTAAATGACAGCTGTTTCCTGAAGTGTGCCAGATCCTGGACAAAAGACCACTGCTGCTGTGGTTGAAGACAAGAATCACTGATGTGTGGCTCACTTCTCCACTACTTTCCCACACACTGTCCACTGACATGTGGTGACCTGGAGGTTTTTATGGCTCCACACATCACATCTACACTGTCTGTTACTGGTTGTTTACAAATGTTTTACTGATGAAAATGCAAATGTTTAGTTTAAATGACTGTAGACACATTTACAGAAGACAATAGTAGACTCATTTTAATGTCTTCAAACTGATGTTTTCTGTATAAAAATCACCTTCAACTTAATATTCCCTCACAGAAATATTACATTCATTGATTTGAAGTCAACGTTTTATATTTGACATAACTTTATAAGTTTGTCATCTCAGATGTGGGTCGACAGAGAGAAGATGATGAAAACTGAGACTGAGAGCAGTGACTGTATCAACACCTGACTGTTTACTGTCACTCAAACAAAGTCTGGTGTTTAATTCAATTTCCACATTAGGTTCAGTTAAGCAGCAGCTAATTCCCCTGCAGTGACATAATCAACCAAACGTCCAAAATAAAAAATCCTCCTGAAAAAAGTCCCATGTTTGACTGTTACAGTTGTTAGTTTGCTGTTTAAAGAGGTCTCTCTCTGTGTCTGTGCGGATGGATAATAGGACACACTTCTATTGTCCACTCAGTCAGAGCAGTGAAAGGACAGAGTGTGGGAAACCAGAGGAAACCCACTCACAGAGTCCTGTGGGACAATAGAGCCTGACCTTTGACCTGTGCCAGAGAACTGCTTTAGAACCAGGGGTTTAGTAAAGGAACAGAGTGAAGTTTGTGCAGATGTTCCAGCAGAGGTTATTTCAGATGTTGTTCAAATGTTGGTTCTGATCAGTGAATTCTGTCTTAATAAAGTGTGTCCATGCTGCTGACCTGACGGTCGGTTCATCTGGAATCTTCATTTACAGCAGAGTTATTCAATGGCTTCATTAGAAAATGAACCAAAACACTGGAATAAATGAGAGTCAATGAGTTCATGTTATTGAAGAGACATTTCCTGACAGGACACCACTGTCCACACACTGTCTCTGCACACACTCCTCAAAAGTCCACTCTCAGAGACACCTGTCTGTGTCCTACTGATGGACAGAGGAGCAGGGAAGTATTATGGGATGGAGCCCAGACTGAGTGACATCATCTCCTTCAGCAGCACCACAGGGATTTGACACACTTCATGGAACAACTCCCCTTCTCCCAGAACCCCTGCCTCACACACACACACACACACACACACACACACACATACACACACATATGGAGGTGAACCTTCAGTCCAGTCTGTGGTCAGATCTGAGACCTGATGACAGACTGGACATTTATAAGACAGTGATGTCACAAACCAAGTCTCTCTGGTCAAACTCTTGGACTGACTCCACTGTTTTTCCCACTACTTTTTCAAACTGGACTCAGTGTCAGTTTCAGCCAATCAGAGCCTTTCCCTCCAGATGCTTCAGGCTGTGTTGGTGTGACCACACACTGCAGCATCTGTCACCCACGTCCCTTTGTTGTCCACTGACCACAGATCAGGAGTCAGTGTGGGAAAGTGAGCTCAGCTTCTTACTCACACACAGACGACAAGACACGTGTCCAGAGACTGTGGAACATCTGGACAGAGACAGGACCAGTGTCCTGACTTGTCCAGACTTGTTCACAGTATAATGGTTATTCTGAAAGATAAGAATAATCAGGGATAAAAAGAACCATTTAATGACTAGTTTAAATATTGAAACCAAACATATTAACATATTATTTATTTTATATTAATGTTAATAATTTGATTTAATTTTGTCTTTAATAAGTAAATAATAAATCAACAAAATAATAATTTCCTACATATCTGTGTTTTCCTTCTTCTCCTCTGTTTCTATTCTCATGTCTGATCAATTCCAACATCATTTATTTCCTTCCACACGTGTGATGTGATGATCAACGTGTGCTCAGTCAAAGTCATTGATCTCAGCATCAGGCAGCAGATCTTCTCTCTCTACAGGGTCACCACTTTCCCAGATCCACACAGAGCTCTGAGAGTCTCCCTCCATCACCCCCCAGTTCTCCACCTGTTCCCCTCAGATCTAACTATTGTCCCTGGGGGCTATTGGAGCAATTCACTGTGTTGAGGCTCCACACGTCCCTTTGTCTCTGTGAGGCTCTGTGATTGGCTGAGAGTGTGAGA